TTCTCTCATTAAAAATATATTGAATGTTTGTATGTACCAGGTACAGTATCTGTATTTAGTGCTGGAGATAAAATAGTAAAAATGACAAAATGAAAATATCTGACCTCGTGGAGCTTATATTCCAGTTGGGGAAGACAAGCAATATACAAGAAAGTAAATTATAGAGTATATTGGAATGGAAGGGGGAGAGTGGAGAATTAGTGAGTGAGAGGGGCAAAGGAAGGGATTACAACTTTACATAAGATGGTCAGAGGTTGCCTAATTAAGAAGGTGACCTTTGATCAAAGACCTGAAGGAAGCTGGGGAACAAGCCATGAGACTATTTGGAGGAAGAGATTCCAGGCAGAGGGAGCAGCAAGCACAAAGACATAGAGAAACTGTTTCGTTATATTTTTCAAAAAAAGAATAGCTTATGAAATACATGGAAACTCATTGCCTTCAAGTCAATTCCAGCTCATAGCGACCCTATGGGACAGATTAGAACTGCCCCATAGGGTTTCCAAAGCTGTAAATCTTTATGGAAGCAGACTGCTACATCTTTCTTCTGCAGAGAGGCTGGTGGGTTCGAACCGCTGACCTTTTGGTTAGCAATTGAGCGCTTAACCACTGTACCACCAGAGTTCCTTAAAATTCATGGAAAGTACTTCAAAATTTTTCAAGATTCTAAATATGCCTTTGTGTCTTTCTTATTAATGAAAGAGCGTTTATGCTCTTTACTCAGCTTTTATGCCTCCACAGCCTAAGATTCTTTATCAATTATTTTGTTATTTTTTTAAATTGTACTTTAGATGAAGGTTTACAGAACAAACTAGTTTCTCATTAAACGGTTAGCACACGTATTGTTTTGTGACATTGATTAACAACCCCATGACATGTCAGCATTCTCCCTTCTCGACCTTGAGTTCCCTATTACCAGCTTTCCTGTCCCCTCCTGCTTTCTAGTCCTTGCCCCTGGGCTGGTATGCCCCTTTAGTCTCATTTTGTTTTATGGGCCTGTCTAATCTTTGGCTGAACGATGAACCTCAGGAGTGACTCATTACTGAGCTTAAAGGGTGTCTGGGGGCCATACTCTCGGGGTTTCTCCAGTCTCTGACAGGCCAATAAATCTGGTCTTTTTTTGTGAGTTAGAATTTTGCTCTACATTTTTCTCTATTGTGATCCCTATCAGAGCAGTCAGTGGTGGTAGCCGGACACCATCTAGTTGTACTGGACTCAGTCTGGTGGAGGCAGCCTAAGATTCTTGAAGTCCTGCTTTAATGTTAAAAGTCTTAATAGCTTTCTGGTAATGACACATGCAAGAAGAAATGTAAGCTTTTTACTTGAGTACAGTGACAGGTAAAGGAGGAAGAGTCCTTATGTGTGTGAGCTAGTGGCTCTCCCATTGGAATCCCACAGCTTTCTGTGGACCACAGTGCACGGTAGTGTCCGTTCATAGGTCTTTTTCTCTCACTCAGCAGAGCTCAGTAGAGTAGGCACTATGTCATATGTAGCTCTGTATGTCCAGGAATAAGTAGTATAGTCAAAATGAAGAAGATTTTCAAAGAAATAATTTAATGAGTGAAGAGAAGAAATGGTAAGGAAATTAACAAAACAGTTTTAAAATCTCTGTAAATCAATCTTTAAAATTATTGAATACAAAATAGAATTTGGCTATTTCAGCTCTCCGAAGTGGTATTATTGGGTCCGATCTTTGGCTGTATGCTTTCTTACGGGTGGTATATAAAAAAACTTTTTTTCAGGGTAGACTATAAGTGCATTGTTTTTACCTCTGCATTTTTGCTTGACAGTCAGGGTGATGTTTTTCTATAAACTGAGCTAACTTCTGCTGCCTGCTTATACTGCCGCACTTATTCCTTCTCTGCTGTCTTATATCATAAGATAATGGCCAGCCCAAAAGTCTTTTCAAAGATCAGTAAATCTTAGCCCTGTTAGGCACCTTAGAATGAGTCTAATTTTACCTACTTACTTTACTTGACTAGGTAACTGAGGCCCACAGAGGTTATGAGATTTATCTAAGGACCTCTATTAATTAACAGCAGGAATTAGAATTAAAAAAGAGAGAGAGATTGACTTCTGGAATCTTTGAGCTTAAATCAAATGTTTGGCAAAATGATTAGCTAACCACACCTCCCTTGGTAGTATTCTATATGGATATAGGAAGTTTTCAAGTTACTTGTAAATTTATTTTACCAGTTTTTAGAACACCACTAAGCAAATTGGGACATTCTCAAAGTTTATGAAATAGTGAAAGTCTCATTTGAATATTACAGATTTTTATTTGAGGTTGTATTGTGTATTTAATGGAAATGTCGACTCAAATTATCTATATTACAAAATATTAATAAGTAAATTATGCTTTTCTCAGTACTTGTTTACTTTGAAATAAAGACCAAGCATGAAAAGTATTAGTTTTCTTGGAAAGGTATGTATTTTTCACATGATTTTATGGCCAAGACTACAGAAACAGGGATTATAGTCTCTGTAGTAAAACTGTGTTTATGGATTTAAGTGTATAAAATATTTATCCTAGGCTTTGATCCTGCAGAAATCAGACTTACAGCATTCTCCTCTGTGGTTCTCTTATTTTTGTTTTTTAAGTAGATACATTCCTGTAATTTTGGAGAGTGACTGCCCCTGGCATTAAATAGCCCTCCCCAGCTATTCTTTTGCCTACACTTTCCTTGAAATAAATGGGATTTGGGGCTGGCACCTCTCTTACTTGTCACCATACCCCGCTAAGCTTGGCATGCAGTGGCCCATGGTTAAAATCCTTATCACCATAAGAGTCGATTATGAGCATAGTTACTTTCTAGGATTAGCAAGCCCCACTAAATTCAACAAGTTACTCAAAAATGGTGTTGTATTTCCCAATAGTTAAAAGTTTATTTAATATTAGCAATTAGTTCCTGTGAAAAAACTGTTGAAAGGACAAATTTAGAAGGTAATAAGTAGGTGAGCAAGGTAAGGAGCCATAAGTTGTGACTTCAACTTGAGTTCTTAACACACAAATACACTCCAAAAGAGTTTGCCCATGTAAGACAAGCTCCTTTTAATGCTGTGAAACTATGAATGAGTCCTATTTTACATAAGTGGGCTGCCTTCACAGAGGATGTATGAGTTGTGGCTGTGGGTGTGTGTACTTGAAGGGCATATGGAAGGCAAGACCTCTCCTATCCATCCAACAAGGATTGGCTAGCACTAAGAAAGCCTTAAGAAGATTTTTTATTCTTTTACGTGAAGTTTAAGCCTGTTTTCAACATCTGAGGAACAAAAAGACAAGGTGACCTTGTTTTGGGCTCCTGGAGTGGCTGTTTTCTCTTTTTCTCAAAATTGCCGGATGGACACCAGCAAAAATTGAATGCTGATAGATAAAATTTGAACTCCTTCCCAGAACTTCGTTAGTTTATTCCACGTGCTCTACATTTTGCATTTTGAAATTGCAAAATTAACTACATGGTTTGGTTTTTTCAGGCCAGTGTAAAAGTTTGTGTTGATTTGATAAGTAGTGATGTTAATAAAGAACTCTTAGGTGAAAGCTCTCTGGGACAATTGCCACTCAAGGCCCAGTTGTCTACTGCTATAGTATTGTTTCTGTTGAAATTTAAATGTGATGTTACTTTTCACTCCTGTGAGCTGGTTTTTGAGTGCCACTGTGTCAAGAATATGCAGGGTCCTTTTATATATAATCATTTGTAATTAAATTGTCTGCACAAGGAGAACCTTTGCCAGCCAAGTTCAAAATAATTTGTAGAATCCTGATTTGGTAATTGATTTATTCAGAAACCCACTTTCCACGCTCCCAACATGAAAGGATAGAGCAAACTGTCTCTTCCTGTGAGAATAAGTGCATATGAAAGAACCTGGGAAATTATAAAAACTTAGGTTTAGTATTATTGTATTGTTTATTGACTTGTTTATTTAAAAAAATCTCTGTGACCCAGCACCATCACAGAAGAAAGTCCTAGTAAACTGCTTCCATAAAGTTAACAGCCAAGAAGACTCTGTGGAGCAGTTTGACTCTAACACATGAGGTTGCCATAATTGGAATTGACACGATGACATTGGGTTTGGGTTTTTTGTTTTCTTTTTCACACATATGTTTTCATCATCGTACTGCCAACCAACGATAATCTATATGTTGATACCAGCATTTCATTATTTATTTCAACCTTTTATGTTAGGGATTTTCTCTGTCTTTTCAAGCCTTGCAGCTAAATGTATTTATTTAAAAGTAAAATGTAAACCTCCCTTAATCACAGCTGTTATGAGTGAATAATTCTTGCAGTTTAAAAACAAGACTAATACAGCCATGAGTAGAGGTGAGGGCATCTCCCTTCTCCCTTCTTGCCATCCCCAAATGAGGCAAGACAGGCTCCCCAGGCTAGCCTATCCTTTCTGAGAGAAAAATGCAGCACATGCAGTTCTAGCTCTTGCACCTTCTTTTCTAGAGCAGCTGCCAAAGTTTAGGAGGAGGAAGGTGTTCATGACAATCCAGGTTCCAGGTTGGAATTTGGATCCTATTATCATAGAAAGATTAACATATACTGTAAATTTCTAGGTCAACAAACACACAAAGACCTGTGTAATCCATAGTGTAGCTGAAATACATTTCTAACAAAATCACAAAACTACAGAATTTCAATGTCTCTGTTTTTCATGAGACACTCTGGGAACTTAATAGCCATTTATAACATTGTTTCTAAGATGTTTACTCAGAATTCCATCTAGGTAATATGCCAGCTAACATCTAAAGTTAGAGTCTGTATATTCACCCTATCACCTCATATAGTATTCAACCAAAATATATGGCCACCTTGTTCTATACTTCATAGTTCAGGTATGCCAGAGGGGAGAGACAAAAAAGGGGAAAACTGAGCTATCAGCCTTGTTTCCTAATGGCTAATTTTGAGTGGCTAGTTTACGTGGAGGCCTCTTAGAATGCTTCGAGGAATAAACAGTTGATGTTTAACTGGCTTTTAACTTTTTTCCCCACACTTTAGGATAATTCCAGCCCCACCACTCCAGATGAGAATGAAACTTCCATTACAACAACCAGTGCCTTAACCATCCAGGAATATTTTGCCAAGCGGTTGGCAGAGCTAAGGAACAAGCCGCAAATCGCACCTACAGATCCTGACTTTTCAGGGGCCCTAAATGAATGGAAAAGGGGAAAGAAAAGAAGCAAGGAAGCAAAAGATAAAAATTTGGAGAATAACATGCAGCCCAAAAAGGAAAAGCCTCAGGAACAAGAAGAGAACCCCAAGTGTGCAGTCAAGAAGAAAAGAGAACAAGTTGAACAACAGCTCGGAGACCCTTGTTGTGAAGAGAATTCTGAATCTTCTGCCGAAAATGGAGAGGATTGTGGGTGGCCACCTGATGACCAAGACTTTACCCCAAAGTCAAAAAAAAAGAAAGAAAAGAAAAAGATAAAAAAGCAAGTAGAAGCAGCAGTGAACCCTATGTTAGGTGAAACACCAGTGAAAAAGAAGAAAAGTTCCAAATAAATTATCTCCAGGGCCTTCCGACCACTCAGATGTCAGTGCACTCCAGGGCAAAAACTTTTGGCCTGAAGTCAGAGCAAAGTTAATCTAAGATAGTTCGTTCACATCTTTTTAACATGCCTGTGGATTGCTGAGTCTTGCCCTCTCACCACATACTTCCCAAATCATACTCCCAGGAGAACTTTTTGTAATGTTCCATTAAATGTTCATGGTTCTCATCAGCAAATAAATTTCTGTTTAGACTGTGAGCTCTTCACCGTGAATGTTTATTCATATTCATATGAATACACTGATTCATGTATGTATGTACATGTGTGTGAATATATGCCACAGTCTGCATTTTCTATTGATTTCCTTTAGTAACAATGAATTGTGCTTCCTTCTGAAGGACTTAGTCTAATTAAAGGATTAAGAGTCAATAGTTTGGATTCAGATAGTTCCTTTTGTTCTGTAGCCAACTGGTACATTTTTGCCAAGTAGGAATTATATGATTACATTCTCAAATCAGAGGGTTTTTTGTTTGTTTTGTTTTGGTTTTGATGGGGAAATTTGTTTTAATACCCTTCCTTCCACTGAGTGGAGTCTCTGAGTGGCACAGCTGTTAAGCACTGGACTACTAGCCAAAAGGTTGGTAGTTCAGACCCACCCAGAGGAACATCAGAAGACAATCCTGGCAATCTGCTTCCGAAAGATCACAACCTTGAAAACCCTACGGAGCAGTTGTACTCCGCACACGTGGGATTACCATGACTTGGAATTGACTCAACTGCAACTTACAACATCAACTTCCACTAAGCAATGGCAACCATGTGTTCTGAGGTCTTCTCCCCAAGACTACAAAGCATCATGAGTGAACTAATTCCTGGGGACAGTTTAATCTTTCAGCTTTCATAAGAGACTTCTTGTGGTTCCTACACAGAGTGTAGGTAGTCAGAAGTATTTCCATTTGGTAGTGCTTGAGGACAAATCACCTCTAGTGGGCTCTGCCTTATTTATAATGATCAGGAGGTAGGTCTTCAGAAGACTCGAAAAATTTAGAGTCTAAATTCATGACATTAATTTCATCTTCAGTCACTCTCTAGATTTGGTCTGCCTTATGAAAATTCTTAAAAATATAAATATTAGGAGGCAGGGCAAGATGGCGGAGTAGTCAGATACTTCCAGTTGTCCTTCTTACAACAAAGACCCAAAAAAACAAGTGAATCGATTATATATGACAGTCTAGGTGCCCTGAACATCAAAGGAAAGTTGAGGAATCAGACTGAGCAGCAGGGGGAGGGAGAGATGGTTCGGAAGCAGCAAGGAGTTGCCAGACCTGACCCGGCAGGAGCAGGCACCCTTCAGGCGGAATCAGCTAGCATGTGCCATGAGGCAAGCAGTGGCAGTCGGGAGGTGTTTTCCATGTCAGGAGAGACCCAGCAGCAGAGAGTCTACTTGGGCCTCCAGAACCAGTGAGAAGTGGCATTCAATCAGCAAAACATAAGTACATGCATCTGACCTACCGAGCAGATCAAAAAACACCCTCTTTGGGAAAAATCTCTCTGCCATTTACCTGTCCCCTGCCCTCTGTGCACCAGGTCGCAAGCAGGCTTCAGAGATTACTGTGTCCCCTGGACCAGAAGTAGGGCCCGTCACGCACCCTGAGCCATTCTCCTAGCCTTGGAGAGGGAACAAATTAACAAACAGGGAAAAATAATCTGCTAGCCCCCCTAAGCCAGGAACTCAGAGTGGGCACAGCTCCTTTGCCTAGGCACAGGCATAAGGGATCCACGGACTTTGAATGCCTTTCACCCCTGCATAGACCTGTGTAGGCCCATTTCAGCCACGTAGGCCCTCAAGAACACAGTACAACAGGGTATATTCCTGAAGCCTTACTTCAACTGTATCAGCTATATGGTGGAGTGGCAGATTTGTGACATTTGACACTGCTCTGCCCATTAAGCAGGGTCCTCACCCACAACAGAAGTCTGAGGACTGGTGGCTCCACCCATGCCACCTAGCCACCCACAGCAGGGGTCCAAGAATAACTGGTGCTTCCCAGTCCTTACAGACAACAGCACTGGGTGCCCATAGTCCAGCTGCAAAACCCACCCACCTGCACGCTCCAGGGAACAGGGATATGCTTTCCTCCCAGATACTCGGGCAGCCGTCAGCCCCCTTCCTTGCTCAGCACGTGACCCCCTACTGCAGCCAGATACCTGTGCCTACACCAGTCACCCATGCCAGTCTAGGACTATAAGTGACAGCCTGCACCACACATTTGGTGACAGACTACCTGGACACATGGACTGAATCCATATAAGAAAAGTAAACAGAATCCTGGGCTCACATACCTAGTAACAGATCTAACCACCTGGTGACAGGACATTAGAGCTTCAAAGGTGCCACTAGTCAAACTAGCTCACACGAGCAGCCTATTTGGGCATATCAAAACAAAATAAAACAAGAAGCTAGGACATGGTAAGCAAACATAAAATAAAGAAATATAATAACTTATTGATGGCCTGGAGACAACAGTCAATATCAAATCACATAAAGAGGCAAACCATGATGGTTTCAGCAAGCTCCCAAAACAAAGAATTGAGAAATTTTCCGGAGGAAGAGAACTTCTTGAAATTATCGGAGGTAGAATTCAAAAGATTAATATACAGAACACTTCAAGAGATCAGGAAGGAATTCAGACAAAACATAGAAAAAGCCAAGGAACACACAGACAAAGAAATAGAGGAACTTAAGAAGATTATAGAAGCGCATAATAACAAATTTAATAGGCTGCAAGAATCCATAGACAGCGAACAGAAATCCAGAAGATTGACAATAAAATTTTAGAATTGCACAGCTCAATAGAAAGTCATAGGAGCAGAATTGAAGCAATGGAAGTCAGAATTAGTGAGACTGAAGATAAAGCACTTGACACCAACTTATTTGAGGAAAAATCAGATAAAAGGATTTAAAAAAATGAAGGAGCCCTATGAATTATGTGGGACTCTATCAAGAGGAAAAACCTGTGAGTGATTGAAGTACCAGAGCAGGGGGCGGATAACAGAGAATGCAAAGAGTATTGTTGGAGATTTGTTGGCAGAAAACTTCCCTGATATTGTGAAGGATGACAAGATGTCTATCTGGGATGCTCATCGAACCCCACATAAGGTAGATCCCAAAAGAAAGTCACCAAGATATAATCAAACTTGTCAAAACCAAAGATAGAGAATTTTAAGAGCGGCTAGGGATAAACAAAAAGTCATCTACAAAGGAGAACCAATAAGAATAAGCTCAGACTACTCAACAGAAACCATGCAGGCAAGAAGGCAATGGGATGACATATATAAAGTCTTGAAGGAAAAAAACTCCCAGCCAGGAATGATGTATCCAGCAAAACTGTCTCTCAGAAATGACGGCGAGATTAGGGCATTTCCAGATAAACAGAAGTTTGGGGAATTTGCAAAAACCAAACCAAAATTACAAGAAGTACTAAAGGGAGTCTGCTGGTTAGAAAATCAGTAACATCAGATAACAACCCAAGACTAGAACACAGGACAGAGCAACCA